ATTACGAACTTTCCGCGCGTAATTAAACCTTCACTCGGATTTCTTGATTGCAATCAGTCGACTGACAACGTAGGCGAATTGTAGATTAGAATGCTAATACCGCAGATATTTTCGATTTTTTCGTTTACAACACATTTTTAGGTTCTACGCATGGACATGAAATACTGTAGTGGCTGCAGACTAGTCGTGTGCTCATCTCTACCATCTCCTATACTTTCTTCAATTTCTATCCGTCCGACGTCCTTCGTAATCACTACTGCCGTCGATCTTCACATTGTCTACATTGATTCCAGGTATGGCTGGAGAAAGATTGGTTCTTTATACCAAAATTTTCTCTTGCGCAAACTTGGTAGCGTGGGGTTGCATCTGATTGAGTTTTGCAAGAGCTTATGTTCAATGTGAGTAACTTCTTTCCTTCTATCCCCGCAAAATGCAGGAAATCGATCCAAACGGTATGTTTTGCAAATGAATGGTAAAAATTCATTTTCAAATTTTTCCTGGGAATCATCCTTAGTAGTTGTCTTACTATAAACTTAAATGGCATTATCAAAAGAACGGAAAATTCGGCTCTTCATAGGGCCCACAGAATTTTTTCAGAGCTGACGAAGTATTACGAGAGCATCAAACATGCTTTCCAAATGGTCTCAAAGGAGTTTCATTCTACTCGCTGGTTCATATAGACGATGTAGAAATAATCAGAAAAATGCATTTGGAAGGTAAGCATGCTAGGTCGTAAGCACACATGCTCTCTAGATTGCATTTGGAGATTTTATGAACTCCTACAAATTTAGTCTTCAAACTCGGATCTTATCGCCCTCCAATGTATCGCATTATTGTGCAAGGACAGCATTCTTTCTATGTCGAGGTGGGTTCCAACTTGCAAAAAAATTAGTCATAAGTACAATAAATAATATGAATTGTTCTTATTCTTTTTATATGGGTTCTTGTTTGCTTGTCTGAACCTGCAGTAATCATTCTTTCAGTCCAACGTCTTTCGCTACACATCGCATTCGAACAAGACTCTCGTTGACTCCATAACGATCGTCTCACATTTTCTGTGAACATCTGTCATTTTGATTGTTTCTTCATCTTGTGACACCGAGATTAATTATAAATTACTGCTTCGATTATTTAGTCAAACGTAAGAACAGTGCACACCATCGCCATTTCAATGGCTTTGCATTGTTGCAAGAGTTTCCTATGTGTAAAAGGTTATCGAAAACCACTAAGAATAAAGGGTGTTTCAAAGTGTGCCTACTGTTTTGTTAATAACTCTCTTGTCATAAAAGTTCTTCGCGAAGGATTAGGTATGATTTTGTAGAGCTGGCTTTGACTTAGATTCGCAGATTGGAGAGGATAACCGATCTCTCTTCATTACTGTGATATTACAATAGGTACTCGCAGCATATGGCGCCACTGTGAAACGGCAGTTCGATTGAGAATTTTCAAAATTTGAAATTTTGTGTAACCTCGAGTCATCTGTAACTTAATATGTGAGATTGCACACTAAGCCCTATTAGCGACGGCACTCATACTAATAACTTCCCGGTAAAAAATTTTCTAGCCTACCAAAATGTAGAAATGTTCTACTAACTAGCACATAACCCACTAAAACAAAAGAAACAAGGAAACAAGGAGAAACTGGAAATGAGCAGGTTCTAGTTTCGCAGTTCGTCAGTTAGCGTGTATTGTATGCACTACGCATATTAAGTTACAAATGACCCGACGATAACAAGATTTTCAAGCATGCGGGTTTCACTACACAACTTTTTTGCGTATTCGCAGAACTTTCCAAAAGGCTTAATCAAATTTTCGAAGAATATCAAAAATACGTCGTTACGTTATACCCGGCATGCATTGTAAAAAAAAAAGCGTTACGGTAAAGAGTGTGAGCCTTCACATTTGGAATCAGCGACCCTGATTAAACCCAGTGTAAAGGTTTTCAACTTCTCTGCTCCATTTTTAGATGTAAATGACCCTCAATGACACAAAACCCTGTTGCTCAGAGTTCCTACCGCATTCCTACAGTAAAAAATGGAGAACGGAATCCGCTCTATACTGAAAATCTAAGTTAAAGCCAGCTCTACAAAATGGTACCTAAAGCCTCTCGAAAGACTCGATGGTAAGGGAGTTCTTAACAATGAAACAGTAGGCACATTTTTTGGGACATCCTTATTTCACAGTGTTCCGAAAGTATTACTACCCCACTTGGTAGTCTTTTCCTTGATTCAGTACAAAAGAAAGCTGGTGGAGTGAGTTTGTTCCAGGATAGTAGTCATCTTAGCAAAATTTAAGCCGTGACACACATGGTGTGCCAAGCGGTCGTCAATGTGTTAACCATTTCATGGTAAAACTAACATAACTCATAAACGAAGCATTGCAGTAAAATGCAAAGTTTATGTGCAGTCAGCGACTCTGTAGCCTAAGGTAAAATTTTAGCTTATGGATTTTCTTCTGGAACGAAATGTGGCTTATAGGGGCTTACAACCCTCTCCAAAATTTCTACGGTAATTCTACAGTAATGATGAAAGACCGATGATTTGCTCCACACTAATAAAGTAAGCTGAGAGCAGCTCTACAAGATACTTTATGTAGCCAAAAGAGCTTTGCAAAGAGAGATATCAAAGATCAAACAGTAAGTATATAATTTTGTGACACCCTGTACAGCTTCTTGAGTTTCTTTGGACACCCTTCCAACAAATGTGCTTCCAATTTTACGCATAAAATGATCATAAAATCTCCTTTCTTTCTGATTTCTTGTATCCTAATAAATCTTCGTTCTTTATTGTGCAATTGTGAATATGAAGTAGTCATCACTTGGTTTGCTATCGTCCATGAAAATTACTCAATCATCTTTGGCTAGCTGCCACTTTCTGGAAAGTTATTCTCATTCATAGACAACGACTGCAACTCTTGCCATAAAAGCTGTCCTCCTTTCTTTCTGATTTGGAGGTTCTGGGTAACATAGCAGTCAAGCATGCTCCAAGCTGAGAAGATGGGCCCGCTTACCAAGTGAGGTTTAAATTCGTGGTTGGTACAGCCCATAAAAAAGCAGACTTCCCTTTAAACCCTGGATTTGGATAATACGTATAAGCAATTATTTTGTTTTTTCTTAGGTTGGTAAGTAAGAGTGGGGAAGAGAACGTTGAAAATGAAGTAGATATTACATAGTTTGCTGATTACAGTTCAGTTGTAGAGGAAAAACGGCTTCTAGAGGGCTCATAGCAGCGGCTTGCTTCTGATTGGTCGGTACTAGTTGTGATTGGTCAGGCAATGAGTAGGGCGGAGTGAAGGCTAATAACCGGTAAGGGGCTGCGAGAGGGGAGGTATACAGGCATGCGTGAATGTAAATTTTTTTAGTTCTTAAGCTCAACAGTAGTAGGTGCTGAAGAAACAAGTGAGTACTCTTATGTAAACGTTCCGATGACGTTTCTCCGCGTTTGTGCGATGTAACTCGTCCACAGCTGTCAGCGGTGTCGGGTTCTAATGCAAAAAGGCCTGAACCTCCATAGATCGTAGCCATACCCTCGATACATAGAGCCACGTACTCTGGTAACCTTCACTTGCTATGAGGGGACACAACGTTCACCTGGGAAAAAACAGAAATCATCCAGGCTTCGCCCCGGATGTTATTATCCTGATTATATCGGAACGAATGTTAATGAAACAAATATAGGGAATAAAATCTTTAGCTTATCTCAACAAAATCGAGAATTTGCATTTTCATAGCCTTTTTTACTTCAAAAAAAGCTTTCTGTGGGATTTTCGCCAGAAGTCAGAATAAAATTTCTTAGTTAACCTCTCATTTGAACAAAATCGAGTTTCAGAAGTTTAGGAAAGCTATTGGAGCTAAATAAGAACGAGAAACTGCGCTTAAATCTTGCGCAGAGAGTCGCGCACGAAAAGGCTGGTCTGTCTCGTTGATGAGTGACTTTCAAAGCTTGGGGCGTTGTCAGTTCTCCTCGTCGTGTCATGGCGATCAGAATGATATATAATGTTGCGGGGTTTCGTTGAGACCCCGCGGAGATCTACGACCAGAGCCAAATGCCCCGTCGGCTCTGGTCTGTCTCCGCTGCTCGTCTGCGTCTCCGCGCGCTGCGCGCTACCTCGCTACCTCAAACGCGGGCACGGGGCATTTGGCTCTGGTACCCTTTTCTTCGGTTTCGAACCCATTTTTAGCAAGCTTTATATCATTTTGAAGGTCTTGATCTCTATTTTACGCTGACAACGTCCCAAAACCATATTTTTTGATTTGATCGAGAAATCCGGCAAAAACCTTGTTTTTGAAAATCTCTTGTTTTTCTTCTAGTTTCACTCTTTTCATGCGGTTTTTTAATGCAATCTATAGATCTTGCTTCTGTTCATAATGCAGACAACCACCCAGCCCTTATCTCTTGGATTATGGTGGAATTTTTTGCGAAAAATCGTAAAAAGTGCGTTTTTCTTTACATTGTTCTGCTTCAGTGCTTTCGAATCGATTTTTTCCAGTTTGGGCGTGTTGCTCAGAACAATAAGCGCAACAATCCAGACAACGTCCCAGGAAACAGAAACGTCAATGCGGGGGTAAAAATTCAATGGACGCAACAAAAATCAAAACCCCGTGTTGCGAATTGCTGGTTCTGAAGCGAAGACTTGCACTTCGAAAAGAAGCCAAATGAAAGATTTCAAGCCTCATTGCAGCCTTTTTATCCGGTTTTCAGCAGTTTCTTTTGCTTTTTATACGTTTTATGTCATTTTCTCTTCTCTGATCATCTTCATACAACCTTCACTGTTTATGATGTCAGATGTTCAAACAACCTTCACTTTTGACGCCCTGTCTCTAGACTATCGAAGGTATGATCGTAGCAGTTATCAGTTTTCTTCTATAACAAAGGATCTCTGTTTACCGAAAATTCCTCTGAATGATTATCTTCCAGCGCTGCTGTTTATGAAGCTTTTATGCAATTTTTATTGTGCAATTTCAAGGAATTCATTAAACATTATTATTATATTATTGCAAGAGAAGAATTCACACAAAAGTGAACAGTACAGACGATAATCGCCTCATTTGTTGGACAAGAGGTGAAGAAAAACACACAAACAATAGTTTCAATATGTACTAGCGTTAGAGACGGGGGAATGTATGTGCGAAGTTCAAAGGGAATGAGAAAATCACTCAGTCTTCATGTCTAGAGAATGACATGGCCCTGAAGGACCACTGTCGTTCTGCCAAACAGAAAGAAAATGAACACAACACTTGTCGAAGGAAATTTCAATAAAAAAATTGGGAAAATGGGAACGGAAATATTCCGTGGAGCATTGAATCTACGATTATCGTAGGAGCAAATTCGATCATACACTGATATGCGCATTTATCGTTCAGACATCATCTTCACGAATTCTTCGTAGTCGATCTCACCGTCACCTGGAACAAAAGACAAAATAATAGTATTCGTAAGACATAGGCTAAAAAATTGTGAACGAGACTCTTGTGAATGAAAATTTGACAATACTACCTTATCGTTGCAAAATTAATTTTCATCTTAAAGAGTCTTTCTCGAAAAACTGTCAGCAGACTAATGACCAGAAAGTCAAAGTGATAAGTTATCCCCATGTTATCAATAGATGGAAAACTTCCATATTACCTATTTCATATGATATTTGCTCCCTAAGCCTACTTGGATATACCACTTTCGAAAGTATAATTCAAACACAATCAGGGAATATAATAATGTTCGAAGCTCGCATAAAATGGACATTCTTTGCAGCCCCAGCGCTTATTATTCATTCTTCCTTTATTGCAAAAATGACGGTATCTTTGCTTTACTTGAAAATTGGCTCAAAATTCAGACATCGTAATAAATACTCAGCATTTTGTACTGTGTAAAATAAATGGACTACATACTTATTAGAAAAAATAAAGTTTTCGAAATCAAAAGTCTCAAGCGATGCACGCAGCTGTCGAACTTGGAGGACAACTGCCTACTTTCTTACGGAAGCTATGACAGGATAGAAAATTTTTTTAGAGGCAGTGAATGATGGACGTGGGGGAGTTAGGAATTTCGAGAATTTAGATGAGGAAAGAGACGATAATTTATGGAGGGTAATATCGAGCTAAAATTAGCTTCCGAATGAAAAAAAACTTTCAAGATGTAAAATTCGTACGACAAGAATAAATGGACATCTATTTTTGCGCGATCAAGTTTAGAGTTCTCAAGAAATAGATACTTACCATCGACATCAACTTCTCGGATCATTTCGTCTACTTCTTCCTCGGAAAACTGCATACCCATGTGTATCTGAAACAATATGCTTAAAAAACTGTATATTTTCCAGTTCGTTTTAAATCCAGCATATACAGAGCAAAAAAGCATATTTGGCACACGTTCAATTAGGAAGCAAAATTTACTAATATATCTGAATGCTATGCGTTTTTCAAGCGGATTTGAACTGAACGGGTTCTGCCTATGTCCATCTCTAGGTATTTCGCTATCCGAAGTTCTAAGTAGATCTGTTAGAATCATTTGCAACCGAACTTTTGAATTTTGCAAACTTCTTGATACTCCTTCAAAATGGATAAGTTTCTAAGTGATTCTTCCTCCTTTTCTCATATGTACAGTTGTCTGAGATAAAAACATGTGTGTTAATCCAGAGGTCATGAGGAATGTCGTGTTGATGTCTGACATAACACTACTCTTGCGTACTATTTTACATGACAATGATAGATTACACCAATACTGAACAGATAACAAATATCAGTCCCATTTCTCAGGTCTTGGATAAGAATGAGACAGCAAGGCATCACTTTGAGTCAAAATAAATCATTCAGATTTATTCCAGGATACTTAGAAAAAAAATTCTGAAGTAACTCAACAGATGATATATGTAGCTTACCAAAACCCCATTCTTTTCTCTCAATCCCAGTCTTTATAAAACTTTCTTCCATGGATGAATAGCTTGAGGTGAGCGGAAAGGATTTAGCATAATGGGATGATAATGTTGTCTGCCCCTCCCTCCCCCCTCCCCGCTCCATTTTCTTCCTTACACAATTTTCTTCTTAGCAATTGTTTACATACACGAAAGCATCGAGTAAGTTACCATTGTTTTTGAGCTAATCAGCGTAAATCTAATCTCCACAGCTGCTCACTAGTGTTTCGATAGCTGCTACTCGATCTTGCATAGTTTCCTGTTTTTACAATCTCAGATGATTTTTGGAAAGCGTCTTAGGTTTCCTTGAGCGCGACAAAGTTTGAATATTACCCACCATGAAATATCGGAACTCTTGAGCGGTAATCACTCCATTCCCGTCTTTGTCGAATACCCGGAAAGCTTCACGAATCATTTCGGAATCGGTTTCCTAAAAAATGTCATTATTGGAAAAGAAGACGCGAAAAAAGCTACAAGTTTCATGAGATCTGGAAGATGCTTGCGAAAGCTGCATACTAATGTTACCGGAAAACACGGAGATATTTTCAAGAGAGAATTATGGATAGATGAAAAATTTTAAATCACATTGCACCCAAATTTAAACATCAAAGCTATTCATGGACGATGATTTGAAGAAAATCCTACCTTCATCATTCGCTTCATCATCACACAGAACTCTGGGAACTCGATCTGGCCGTTACCATCCAAATCGACTTCATTGATCATTTCTTGGATTTCCTGAAAAATCAAACATATATTGAAGGTCTTTAGGCTGATCGTCGATGTTCGTGTTGTAATAAAGATCCCATTAGGTAAATGATTAAAACACCAAAAAGATTAGATCATGGTGAAGTCCTTTCTTTGATTTTACGAGTTTATTAGATTATGATTTTAATTTTTTTTTGTATAACGATCAATCAGCTAAAATCATTTTTGCATGGGTCTCACTAGACATTTAGACTGACTTCAACCAGTATAAAAATTGGGAGCAACGCTATGTGAAATACCTTAGAAAAAGTAGAGCCGAAATTTGTTTGGCTTGGAATTTACGGCCAAAATCCCTCATCCTGCTACTTTGCCTGTCAGCAATAAGCATAGGTTTCTTGTGACCTTTGGAAGATATAGGTGAAATACTAAAATTTTTGAAAAAGTATTTTGTCCAAGAATCGTTGGTTTTTTTTGTACACTGTTCTCGAGCTATATGTAGAAGCTCTGCAAACATCAAAAAATGGCCCTTTTTGAATTTAAGCATGTTTTTGACTTTTTTTCGAATATTAGTTCTCATATATAATAGACTAAGACCGGAAGTTTGCCATCTCACATTAGGAACGGATTGCCCGTTCAGTAAAAAGGTCTAATTAGCTGCTATGGGATGAGAAAAGCTCAGTACCTTATGGAAAAACTATATTTTATTTTCTTCAATAGTGCTGTGCCTGACAGGTTTGTTAGAAAAACAAACCTGTCAGGCACAGTTTGTATTGAAGAATATAAACGATGCCGAGGTTTAAGGAAAGTGGTACTTTTAAATTATATTTTATTTCTTTCTTGTTTCTTGACAATATACAATAAATAGACAAAATACAAATTTGAAATTAAAATTCCAAATATCCAATTTCCGTCCCGACAGAGAAAGAATTTGTACAACTAAGCACCCCCATGACCCCACAAGGAAGCTTAGGTTAGTCCTTTTATGTTCCTTTCTTTTATGTTTGCATTTCATAGGCCTTTCACACTACTGATGAGATCCAGGGAAGGCCGTACTACTTTTATTCTGATTTCCATCTAGTGTTTAGGAACAAATCTAAAATCTCAATTTCCTCAGCCACCCAAAAGAAGTCATTCTCCTAGCCATCCTAGAATTAAGCGAAAGAAATTTTATCTACTTTAAACCATTCATTTTCACGAAACAAAGCTAAACCCCTCAGCAACCTTCGATGTTTACAAAATCATTTTTTGCAGCTGTCACTGTAATCTGAGCTACATCCCGCGGCGTGCACAGATACGGTATTACACGCACAGTTGCTAATTAGTCATGTGTCAATCCAGGTCGGGGACTGAAGAGAGCTGCCACCGCTAGCAGCTGCTGTCTCTCACATTCCTAGCATTGCTAGAAATTTCAATACAGCATTCAGCAGCGTCATTAAAATCCGGTGATTTTCGTTAACAGTGGATCTTCCGGGTGCAAAAATCCGATCACTTGATAACATGGAAGAGATTTGTTTATCAAGTTTGTGGCAGGAACAGCTGCGAAATTTTTGGCTGCTTGCCAGAATAATGGTAGTTTAATCACGTTTTTTAAAAGTGTGAAAATAGTTGATCGTGGTGCTAAAAAATTTATTTTTGTTATTGGAGTGATGCCAGAGTGTACTCGAGAAAGTTCCTGGGAAACCTGAGGTATCAAAAATCTTGTACTTTTCCTACTCAAAATAATTGGATATAACGCTGACCGTTACTAATATTTTATAACTTTAACAGAGATATTGAGAGGTTAGCATTGAGTGATAGGAGCAGGAAATAAATACAAGGTTTAGAAATTTTTCTTGTTATTTTATCGCCCATGCTCCCGTTGAACAAAATTGAACGGAGAAAATGGTTTTTGAATTACGCGAATCTTCACTAATTTTTAGAACTCTCCAACAATTAATATAAATCTGATTAATATGTGAATTACGCTGCTGGCTTCGCATACCGATGGAATTTTTTACCACAAAATAAAAAAATTTTCTTTTCTTGTTAGATAAGTGGCTTTTATGGATAAATTACTCCGGTCTACCAGCAGCAAGTCACTGATTACCTCAAACAGATCAGCAATTTGTCACTCCGACCGGAGTCTAATGGAACCCATGATATCATAGGGCATCAGCTGTTCTTGCCACATTTTATTTTAACGCATCACAAATCTGCTAGAGGAATGTCAATCAAGATTAGAACGATCTGTACTGAAGGTGATCAACGATCAATTACTTTACTTTAAGCAAGTCTAGCTAAAAATTTGGAATGTTAATAATGATCAGCAAGAATATTCACTTGAAGGTTTATCGATTATTATAACAAGTAAATTTCTAAAAATTGAGCAGAATGAAGAAACCTCAATGAAAGCTATAAACGTATGCAATTTTAGCTTACAAAATACATCGCGAAGGAAAAATCTGTCGCAAGCCGTTATTTTTTCCAAAATAATAAGATGCATTGTAGAAAAAGATCAAGCACTAAAATAAAGTGAACATGACAAAGAAGAAGGCAAGCAGAAGAATTTTTGCCGCTTAAAGGGACTGACCCTCAAAGGAAATATATCGGTTAAAATTAGAGAACTATGGTTTTGATGAGTTAAAATTTATTGTGAATACAGAAAAACTAAGAGTGCATGATATGAAATGTAATTGTTCCGTCCAATAAGCTCAGGAATTCAGTCTATGTTGATTTTCTTCAAAGTTGCAGTCCTAAGAGAATTTTGGATTTCTAGAAAAAAATGAGCTATCACTTCCGGGCACTGAGATTATTTAAATCTCTTTTTTGTTGTATTCGGCCTCCATTACCTTTCGCCCCCCCCCACCCTATACTAACCGACTGATCTCCGTCATGCCTTCTTGCAAGTTGAAAAAGGTTCTTGATCCCAGTAAGTGCAAAAACCATCCTCTAAAGCCGCTAAGTACAAAGCATTTGTTGCCTTTGAAAACTGATCCCACTTTCAATCCCGCAGTGTTCTGCAAACGACATGGATTTACATTGTCCCTAATGTCTGTGTATTTGCTCCGAAGTTGCCTAAGCCATATGTACTTCAAATCTTCTAAACTCTTCCGCAATAAGAATGTTGCCTACGGTAACAAAAAAAGGTAGATGAGGAGCTACGGTACCTGTTCAGTTGGATTTTGTCCTAGAGATCGCATTGCAATTCCAAGTTCTTTAGTCGATATCGTACCATTGCCATCTTTGTCGAACATCATGAATGCCTCTCGAAATTCATCTACTTCTTCGGGTGTGAGCTGAAATGGGAAAATATCAAATGTGAGTTATATCAGATGCAGGAGTATTGAAGGTCGGCTTAAATAATTTGCACATTTTGATTTTTTGAGATTTTTCTATTACAAAACTGTCAAACTCCGAAACTATTATAGAATCAACTTTTTAGCCAATCTCTTTCTGTGAATCCATAATATGGCATTTTTCACATTCGAAACTTGTCAAAATCGTTTTCCAGAAGTACAAAAGTGTCATTTTCAATATAAACAGTCAAAGTTTTATGGTCAAATTTATCTAGTAAGTTCAAATAACGTAACGGTAAGCTGCTCTTAACATCGACACATTTGGTAGGACCTTACCGTAATGTGATCGTATGCTTACCGTAGCATGTAAAAGCAGCCGAAATGATCGATGAATCACGAATTTTAATGTGGACAAAATCAAACTATACGGCTGATGCAAATACATTATTTACATTAAATCTGAAGTAATAGCAAAAGGAACCATTGCAATCATTGCTGATTATTGTAGGATTACTGTAAATAAACTATGTCAAAAGTACATATAAACCGAAATAGATATGTACAATTTTCTACGCAAAAGCAATCAAAGTATGCAAACATAAACTAATCGCAGTAGGCAACGTTAATGTTGCTAATTACTGTAGGATTACTGTAGCGAATACGCTCACAACTGTGATGTTCAGGTACATAAAGAAAACAAAAGAAATTTTACCTGTTTGATGGTATCCTCACTGTATTGCATCATATTACGTGCAGAACTTGCGGCCAGCATTCTTTGCTCGAACTGGAAGGGGAAAAAATAAAATTACAAGACACGAAATTCATGAAATCAGAAAAATTCCAGCAGCATAGAATACGGTACAGATACTGTAAAGACCAGTAGATCACTAAAATTGACAAAAGCTGGATTTCTACTAAATCAACGGTTATCATCTAGACATGTGGGTGTTGATGAAACAGTAAAAGTAACAGATAAACGACACGAAGCGACCAGCACTGAGCCCCCAGGGCCCCTCTGAACTCGTGCTGTTGTTGTGAGTGTACGTCAGAACACTGGAGCACAGCGACACAATCGCCCCCTGGCCAGGCCACCCGAGAGAGATCACAGCTCCCACTCTCTTCCAACACCTGTTCGGCACAAGATGACGAACACCACGTTTTTCTCGAGTGGGTTTGAATTTCTGACCTTTTCGCGGACCATTTGTTTGGTTATAAATGTCCTTGAGGGTAAGGTAAGGTAGTAATAAGCATTAAGCGGTCGCTAAGTCTCGCCAATATAAAACTCAAAAAAATTCGTTATGAAAAGTTTAAAAAACCGTATTGATTTATGCATACATTTTCAAAGCGTGTAACAAATGTATTTTATTTGTGTTCCTATGACAGCGAGAGTCTGAAAATCGATTGAAAAATAAACGAATCAGCACGAGGTCCCCCATTCAAAGAAATGACATAAAACCATAATAAAAAATAAGATTAGATTCTGTTTGGCCCTAGCATTTTTAGCCAAATCCCGGAAGGATACGTTTGAATGTTTCTATTTATTTGCTTGTATCAGCGAGATATGCCAAAAGAAACTTTTGCATAAAAACTCTTTAAAAGTGCATAAATTTTTCTTTTCAGGCTATGCTGAATCCAGAATTTCTTCAAATTAGAAGAAACCGCGGAGTTTCAGAAATTGTAATGCGAGCCTTACAAAAAGCAATCCAATAAACTTATTCACATTATTTGTTGAAGTCTTACAGTAAAACAGGCTTGAAAAAACTTTTGACATTCCATGAGCGGTCGTAGAAAACAACTTTTTGCTAGGCGAAATTTAAGCAATTTTATGACAAAATACATTTTTACACACTTTTTGCTGCAAAACACGGACTGGAGAGTTATATCGTTGTAGAATAGCTTTAAATCTGCGCAATAAAAATCTATGACAAGATCATAACCTCAAGATAATTATTGCTTGAAGCTGTAAACAAACCCAAAAGCTCAAGTGGTGTCAGCCATGAAGCCGCAATCCCATGAAATTGAGAGTAAAGCTTCATTAAATGACTGTAAATAGTAAATAATATAGAGTCATATCCTTTTATACCCTTTTACACTAATAAGTAATCAAGTAAGTTGTAATGCAATCCAGAAATTCGTGGTTTTGTCGATAGCTGGATGAAAAATTATTGCAAATGGTTACTACTTCATACTTTTATTCCATAACTTTTCGTAGTAAGCCCTTCGTACCTTCTTTCAAATTTATTGGTTAAAGAGTATAGTAAAGCCCACCACGATGTTGGTTGTTTTTAGCTTTTAATAAATTCATTTTTAAAAACTGTAACCTCTCAAATGCTTTTTATCGACTATACTTTGACGCCAAACAGTTTGGAATATTATGTACAATAAATTACAAAAAATACAACGGCTTCTTTGTTCCGGCCAGACGGCAAAGTTTGACAGATTTGCGCTGCTGTCGTGACCGCATAGTTTGCGATTTCGCATCGTCAATAAAATGGAAGAAGTCTCCAAAAATAATCACTTTGCTTCCTTATCCAGACACTCAGCACCTTTCTTTGCTTTTCGATTATCAAATTTGATCAAGCTACAATACAGAATATTGCAGTAAAAAAATTTTTTAAGGGGACATTTTGACAATCGCATATATCTACTTTATTGTAATGAGTCATATGCTATGAACAAAGCTGTTTTTACTTCACGCAATTTAGAATTCTAAATTTTTTCAATCCCATGCAGGGCTCGGCACGCGGTGGCTATTGGAGAATGCGGAAAACGAAGTCCCCTTTGACCTTAAAGGCAGTGTTCGGGCAAAAACTCGATTTTGAGATTTTGTGCTTATACGGGCCTATTCGCCATGCTGATTCCGAAAATCCACGTTGGAAAGCGCGAAAAAGGTGAAAAAGGGCTCTAACACAGGAGGGAAGTCAGCAGGTGGGCGGGGCTTTCCCCAGTGCGATTTCAAGCTCCCAGCTCCCGGAGCGATTTTCTCGATTCCGTTAGCCGTCCTAACATCGCTACCGGTCAAGTGCGAATGATTGACTTGAAACCGGAAGCGAAAAGGTCGCTCCGGAAGCCGGGAACGGGAATATGCAGCGGGGAGGACCCCGCCCACCTGCTCATTTCCCTCCTGTGTTAGAGCCGTTTTTCGCCATTTTCGCGCTCTACAATGTGCATTTTTGGATTCAGCGTAGAGAATAGGCCCAAGTAAGCACAAAATCTCAAAATCGAGTTTTTGCCCGGACACTGCCTTTAACACATTGACGACCGCTTGACACACATGGTGTGTCAAGCAATGACTACCGCGTGGGACCGCTTGACACACCATGTGTGCCAAGGCTTGAATTTCGGTAAAATGACTGCTAAACTGGAATAAACTCACTCCATGAGCTTTCTTTTGCACAGAATCTAGAAATGACTTCTACCTCTTTTGTCAGCCTTTCAGAACTACTGTAAGTGTGCTGTAGATGGAAGTATGCGTAATTATGGTTGAAAAAGCGGGCTGGTCCGTAAAAAGGCCTTGGTCCCAAAAGGCAGACAACTAAAAATCTGCATGGTCGTCAATGTGTTAAACCATGATCCTCAAAAACCCCCAAAAAACGAAACGTCGACCAAAAAAGTCGCAAATTTTGTGTCTTTCGGGCCACAAAAACGAAATCTCCTTTGCTTTTTGTCCCAAAAAATGTATCCAGCTTGCTTAGGAGCCACCTGTGCCGAGCTCGGATCCCATGTCCCTATTACTATAGATGGTTGTCCAAAACAAAAGGTTATGCCGAAATCTTGTAAATGTCACATTCGTTGTAAAAGAAGTGATATTCTACATCCGTTTTGAGCTCTCTTAAAGAAGTAAGAAATATGAAAACCTATATAGATTCCGACGAGGAAACGTACATGATAGCCATGAGACTACATACACGCATGGCTTAAATCTACTTTTATACCATCTTATATCCACACAGATTTGCATTACAGCTACACCAAATCCACTTTGAACCTACGTAAGCAGACGTTCTATTTCTGAGACCCACAGCATTCTTCATTGGGACATGCGTAATTGTTTTCCTTCTTTTTAAGCACCTAAGGGGCTTGTAGACTAATTTGGCGGTAGAACTTAATGGAATCTCAGTCAAGATATACTTTTTCCAAGTTTCTTTGTGTTAATATGATAACGATGTATGTCTACTTCCTCCTAACAAAAAAAGATCGCGAGAAGCAATAAAAATAGAAAACTGGGTAGAATTCAATAAGCGTTTATGACACGTCTAGCTTTGAGCTATTTTAAGGCTGCAAAGTATCTAGCCTTTTACTTTTTTATGGGTTCTAGAGAAAGCCTGAAATTTACCAAAACATTTAAAAAACCACAAAAAGGCTTAGCTCGCATAGCGCAGAAGATTTGTTGATATAACACTTTCGATTTTCAACGCTTAAAAAAAGAGCTTTTTTCTCATTTTTATGAACAAAATAGCATAAGATCACATAACTGAGTGCACAATTCTCTTTTTTTCATTATTCTTTCATTTTTTTTCTCGTTTTCATTCACTCTTTTGTGTCACACAAAGCACAGTCTTTGACCAATCTCATTTTCAGGTAACTGACACTTCTGCAAAGCCTTCCTGTGCTTGTCATAAGCAGCTGTTATGCATTTCAACTTTTTTGGATTCTTGGCCTTCGGGACTATGTCATGTCTTTTTGAAAGCAGTAAAGATGTGAAGCTGAAATGGCTTTGACTGCTCACAGGCTTACGTCACGCTTTAAAAGCTTAAGGGAGCAATATGAAAGAGAAATAAATGGCCGAAGTGTTTGCAGTGATACGAGTTTTTTTCTTTTAAAAAACTTTATAAGGATGGAGGAAGCATTAGGACTGCTATTTTTGGTAACAAGTACTTGAGAGAAGGGATTGAGATGGAGCTAAGAAGAAAAACTGGTTGCTTGAGTAGGTAATGTTAATGGTGAACCTCTACCGCACTCTTTTACGTCACTGAGGAAAAACTCGAGCAGGAAATAATTTATGTCACGCAGAAAGCATCAGAAAGAGAATCTATTTCAAGATAAAGGGGATAAAGGTTAGACTACATAAAAACGTTTACTCGAATTTATTTTTACAGCGTTATTCATTAGCGATCATTGTGTATAGCTTCTCCTTAAAGCAATACAATCATGAAAGTCATAAAAGACGGTTGCCCAGAAGTTCATCTTAATTGTTTATTACTGACTAGAAATTATTGTGAATTAATGCCTAACTGAAAAGCGGGTCAATTTGATGCGAATATGCACATCTTATAAGGATGAAATTACAAAAATTGTTGCAGTAGTATTTTACTGCTTTTTTGGGAACCTACATTCTTCTCTTGCAATTTTTACCGCGTGAGAAAAAGGATTTTGCCGACTTCAAGAAAAGGTAGAAATTTCTGAAACTAATCATCTAGATTTTTGGTCTGGAAGATGAATTTAAGCGGGTATTATGTATCCTCAATCATAGATTTTACGAGAAAAATAAAGGAAAATCTGTAAAACCAGGATACTCAGGAGTAACTGAGTACGTATTTGATTTCACTTTTTTTGATTCATTTTCATTCCTCACTGCATAGGATATTCCAGAAGAAAAACAAAACCAATAATTATTAACTAAAACAAAACTCTTAATTTTTGACCTTGATTTTGTGTGACTATTTTGGTTCAGAAATACCATCGAATCAACCCTGAGCTTTCAAAGCTACAGTTTTTTCATAGTTTTTACATGAAATTTCCCTTTTTAGAGGTCTGCATTGCAGTTTTTTGCTTCCATATACTCCTGTGAAAGTTTATCATACTTACCCGTCTTCTGCTCGCAGCAACATTCGTTGCGCGAAATCGTACCATCTTGATTATTCAGCGCAAATATTCAGAATCAGAAATTAGTCAGTGTTTCAGCCGCTTAGAAGAGCCTAGTGATTCAATCAAAGAAATTTATCCCGTTTTTTACGCCCTTAGCTGTCAAATCTGTCCCATTGCGCGCGAACAGAGCAAATACAGACAACTGACAGTTTCAACCGTACAAAAGTAAGCAATTTGACAGAATCGCAAAGAAATTATGAGTCATGCTTTCAAGCTAAAGTAAGTCAGAGACGGAAATTCTCCTTTTTCCTTTAGTTTGATTTGAAGTTATTTGGTTTTTAGTTTTGTAATGCAGTTATCAAGCAAATGCATCCAAATTTGTTTGAAGGATAGTGCAAATGACATTTAGACGCTCGGAAACATGTGTTAATCGACAAGCATGTGACAGCTTTTATGGCAAAAAAGTCTCCATAGCTGAGGAGACATCATAATCTTGTTGATGCGCTTGTTGACGTTTCCATCTTGTAAACGACTTAGTTTAACCATAACCTCCTTAGCATCAAGCCGCTGTTCCTTTCGCAAAAAAAAGTGTAATTTGATGTCAGGAAAGCATATATGGACGGAAATTGGTATGTTTACGTAAAATTCCGCTAATGGAATATGTGCAAGGATTCTCGGAAAAGGAAAAACAGTAAACTTTGACTTTTTTGCAAATAGTTCGCCTTGAATGTTTCGAACAAGCATTACAACAATGAAATGTGAGGGATGTTAGATTTCAAATTGTGACTTAGCTATAGGGACTTCTGAATCGCTTATTGTATTTTAGGCAAAGGTTACGCACGTACCTTTCTATAGGAGACGGTCAAGAGGCGCGATTTTTCTGGGTCTCAGCAACTTAAACCTCCAATTTCATGCTATGGGAGAACTCATAAAGTGTCGGACAAAGTTCACTGGCTTACAAATTGTTTGAAATAACTACTTGATAAGTCTGACGACTTTTGCTAGAAAACTGACAGAAATACTTAAAAAATTGCTGTTAACTGCAGTCTGATAGGTTTTTGACCTTTAACAATTTTGTAAAATCGATAACAACATGATAAGATGGAACAATCCCTAAGTTCTCCAATATATTTCTTCTAAGATCTCAATTAATTTTGGAACTTCATAACTAAATATTTGCTATACGCTGCCCATCTGGCAATAGGAATCGCGCCTCTTGACATATATCCCCTTCCTATACCTTACCGGATTATACTTTTCAGTATGCCTCTGACAGTCTTCAACGGTCTCACTCCTTTTTTCAGACAAAAATAGAATACGTATGAGTTTCATCTAAGAGCTCAGCGTATGAATTTTGTGGCCTACCTGTTTCACGCTTGAGAAGATGATTCATAGCAATAAGGAATATAAGATATTCCAAACACGGTCTAAGCAGATAATATTCCAACTTAATCTTTCGAATAGCGTTAACGATTCCATTCCTCCACAATTATAAATCATAAGCAGAAACCATTCTCAGAAAGAAAGACTCGTGCGCCAACCTTGAACCCAATGACACACCAGTTTTTGATAAGTTATTAAAAGATCAAGCGCCTTTATAGTTTCGGCTGGGAAAGTAATATCTACTTCGAGATGGTAGAGGATGAAAAAATTTTGACTTCGATAATTACGTCGAATCAATTTGTAGACCCAATAATGATTTCTTTGGCAAATTCATCTGCAAGAGTGTCAAGAAAATCCTGAGAAATAAATTAGAAAGACATCTGATGATGTGTATGAAATTGATTAATACATAGTCCTCAAGAGGTGCACAATACAGGTGGAAAATGAAGCTATTCTCATATTCTAGCAGCCAAAAGCAGACAGCCAGCGAGTCCCATATAAGAACAGGCTCTTGAATAAATGAGATGGCAATGGCGAGAATCTACCATAACCCTAATAGAAAAAACTTTCATAAGCCGAAAATAATAATTTATGTCACGCAATATGCATAAAGAAGTATATTTATTGCAAGCGTGGGGGTGAATATGGACATATTAGTCAATTTTATTTGACAGGTATTCATTTAAATTCAATGCGTGACCTTTTTCTTAAGCTCAAGCATAGCAGTTATTGTATAAGTTCGTTTTATCAATATTTTGCTCCAAATTCACGATTTCTTGCGACATTTGTGGAGAACTCTATCATTGCTCAGAGGGATGCTGTTGACTTAATTTTGTTATTATGGCAATAAAAGCAAGGGAGTGTGGAAGGTAAAGAAGAAAATGCTTGGAAAAATTTTCAGTACCTAGAGTAAAGAAATATTGAAATTATTGTGAAGAACTGAGCCTGAATGCCTTAAAAAGCAATTTTCAGGTAATCCAAGAAGATGTTGTTCAATGTGGGAGACAAAACATTTTTTTTAGATAACATAATTCACTTATGGATTTTTATAACAGAAGGTGTAGTAAACGAGAAGTTTTCAGTGCATATACATGTACCATTTGGCACATGAACATTTAGATTTTTTGATGATTTAAATTTTATGACAATCTAACGGGCATTCGCGCTTCCTTAACCGAGCATCTAAAAAATTGTGAAGGGTTAAAAATGTCCGGTATCACAAGTATGGTTATAAATACAGTTGAAGCAGACAAAAATTGCTCGTTTGCGTTTATTGAACGCCTACTTGAAACCTGATCTTTTGCCTAATCCTTTCATTTGTTAAACATAAGACAGGCTAATGAAGGCCAATCCGCTTGCTATCAAGTAGCTTGAATAGGTTAATTTTTTATAGCTCTTTTCCATATTGAAAATTTATCTCTTTCATCACGACTGGCCTTCAAAGGCAGCTTGTAAATCTATTAGGTTGACGCATAATTCCTGCAACAAAATAGGTACAGACCGCAATAATCCGCAATAATTCCATATCCCAAGTAGAATTCGATATATCATTAGATAGAGCAAACCTAGCTCTACAAGAAAGTCTTAAAGATTTGCAATAGCTCTGATCCAAGCGAAGATTGAAGCCAACGAAAAAGATCCAAGCGCCCCAAAAAAACCAAGAAAAAATTGGAAGTCAGTTCAAAAAAATCCTTCAAAATTCCTAACATGCTTATGCATTGTCATCTTGTATAAGACATTCCTCTATGCAGTTGCTGTATTTTTCTCTCAGCTAGAAATTGAGAAAACGAAGTCTTTCATGTTTTTACCAAAACAATGCTGGGATGTTCTAGCACTGGCAGTTGTATACTATAGGACCTTTGAAGCGTAAATGTGAATTTTCAGCTTTTTACAGCAGCTGATTTGCGAGAAATATCGAGTTTTTTGCAATGGGGCAAGAAAAATTCGGATGAAGAAAGCTAGATCCGTCATTTCTCGTGAACTAGCTGTTCTAGAAGGCTGAAAATGTAAAGTTTCACTGCTAACGGCATGTACTATACAACTGTTAGTGCTAGAACATCCCAGCACTAATTTGGCAAAAACATGAAAAACTTCGTTTTCTCATCTTTTAACTGAGAAAAAATACAGCAATCGCATAGATAAATGCCTTACGTGGAATATCTAGGCGTGAGCAAAAAAGAAATATTGTAGGAGCTTTTTGAACGAAGTTACAATTTTGTTTTGATCGTTCTTAAGGTTTTCGAACGCATGGTTTTTTCAGTTTTCGGCTCAAAACTTCGCGTGGATCAAAGCTGGTGCAGATTTTTGAGCACTATCTTGTACAGCTAGGTTTGCTCTATCTAATGATGTATCGAATCCTATTTGGGATATAGGATTATAGGATTATTGCGGAGTAATGCGGTCTGTATCTACTTTGGTGCAGGAATTATGCATCAACCCAATTTAATTGAGTGAGTCTCTGACCAAAAGGCCTCAACTAAGCCATTGCCCAAGCAGCAGCTTATATTGTTATCTAATTCATGCCTGAGGAATCCATCCTCAGCGTTTCATCGTAGTTGAGAACTGTGACTGATGCGGGCGGTAAGGGATATTGTAATGGACGAAAAATTAAAGTGTATTTCCGCTCTTGAATGACTCGTTCAAGTTGTGACTTGGGTAGAGGTTAAGGGAAGCCCTCAAAATAATTTCGGCATAGAAAGTTAAGGTAACCAGGTTTGCTTAGACGTTTGCATTCAGATGCATAGGGTTCTATGTATGTGCTGTATAACCGCATGTTCTGTCCTCAAATTCTCCAAAATGGAAAGTTTACTCACCAGCTTGTAGGTTCGAGCAACATTTTGAGAATGGTGAATTCGAACCATTGCGGGCTAAGGTGGACGATTTAGATCAGTGAGTACTTACGGGTGTTCGAATAAGTGTAGTGATCCGAATGAGCTAATCTATTGCGTTTTTTGCACTTTTAAAGGTGTCAGATCTGCCCCCATTTCTTGAGCGGGAAGTAAATACAGTTAAATGACAGTGCCAAGAACTTTTTGTAAACAATCTGACAGAATTCTACACATTCCAGAGTCATTGTCCAACCCCTGACCTAATCCAATGGCAAGATTTTTCCCATCCCTTATCCGAAGCCTAAGCTTATTTGGTTGTTGGTCTTATAATGCGAAATCCGTGCAAGCATTCGCAATATGATATAGAGCATTGCAATTGACATTCAGATACTCAAAAACTGCGTTGATCGACATGCGACAGCTTTCATCGCAAAAAATCGCAAAGTTGAGAAGTCATAGGATAACACCTCTAAAAGCTTGCTGACGATGTCATCTCGTGAACGGCTTAGGCTTAGTTACTTAGTTAGGATTTCTGAAAGGATGTGCTTTTTGCAAAATTCTGAGCTTAGGATTCTAAGAAGATACGGTCCTTTAACATTGCTGATAAGGTGATACCAACATAAGCAGCTAATGTTAAAACGAAGTATGTACCCTCGAATTGAACCATTACTACACATACAAAGACATTATTGTGGGACCACCTGTTTATACCTAACCATAGACTGCACTACGAGCATGGAATCAAGGACAAAAAGTATGAAATTGATCGGATCTGCCAGTCTTTCACTGAATATGTTCCCGTAATGCAGTCTTGCTGATTTTTTCGTATGTGTGTAGCAGTGGAAATTATAGTTTTTGAGCGGAATTGTTTCTGAAAGAGGGCGAAAACATTTCCCAGAAATTTTTCAGAGCTAGTTGAAATTTATAGAACACTCAAGAATTCTAACCACTCATAAGTTCCAACAGATGTCTTGCAATTTTTATCATCCTTGTACTTCGTCAAAAATTTTACTCTCAAAAATCCCGATCTATGGGATCTGCCACTGTGCATGTTTAATCTGCAGTTTGTCGACTCATTTAGAAGATAATCTCAAATTCTAATTTGATCATGCCTGAATTGTCTGATATGAGTAATGTACACACTTTCTTGATTTTACAAATCCTAAAATTACCGAGACGATCAGCCACATGCGCGTGAATGGAGACATGGTAAGTGATGGACCTACTTTTTTGACATCAAAATATTGAATTCAAATTTTTGAATTTTAGTCATGAGCCATGTAATCCTGACTGCAACATAAAAAGCACAGTGGTTCTATGGCTAGCTATTATACTTCAATTCGGATTGAAATAAGGTTGTAGTTTCCTGTTTGTAAAATTTTCGGCAAAGAAGGAAAGTTAGATGTGTTGTTAATAAAAACAACAGCTACAACTTCAGAATGATATATGCACTTCTAAAAGAAGATGGATGCTGGACCACAAATAATTCTCATACTCTGCCTCAGAATTATCTCAGTAAAAACTGCAAAAAGAAACATACTAGACGTCTGATGCTGATGACGCATGAATTGAAATGTGAGAATTCTTTTTACAAAGATATTTCACTGCCGGAATTCTTACTCAAGTGAGTTGTGATAGTCATGTCGGATCTCTCTCGATTAGCTACTGAAGCCTAATCGAGAGATATCCGACATGTTGGGGAGAAAATAGCTAGGATTAAGCACACATGATAAAAAAAAGTGTGTATAATCCTTTTTTATGGAATGACAAAAATAGGAATTAGTGCATGGATTTGTAGGAATTCATAGAATCGTACCAACACACCTCATATCTCATCATTGTACCTCATACACACTTTACTTCATAATGCGTTTGCACTTAAACTATCTATTTATTTTGTAAAAGATTGTAAGCGCTGATCATACATTAAAATGAACTATACTGAAATTCTATTCGTTTACATCCTGATAAATATGGAAAAGATTGGTGTATATACAGGGTATCCCAAAAAATGTACCTACTATTTGATTGTTAATAACTTGTAAAGAAGTCTTTCGAGAAGCTTCAAGTGTGTTACTGTAGAACGCTTTTCAACTTAAATTTGCAGTATAGAACGAATTGTGAAAGTGTTGCAAAACAATCAATGAGCTTTCAGAAAATAACCAAAATTTGCGACCCATGCTTTTTATGATGGTCAATTTTCACGATTTTTTAAAGCTTTCATATCAATCCTCAGAAGGAGATCAAGTAACGGTCCGATAGAGTAAACCTTATACAAGGTGTCCGTAAAGTATGTATACACTGTTTGATCGTTAATATCTTTCTTCCCCACAAATCTTTTGCTTTGCTTCAGGTACCATTTTGTAGAGCTTTAACTTAGATTTGCAGTATAGAACGAATCACCCGTACCTCTTCAATACTGTAGGATTGCGGTAGAAACTTCAAAGAGGGTTTTGAGCCGTGAAAGGCCATATTTTGCCTCAGAAAGGAAACAAAACAGCCTGGAAACTTTTACACTGGGATAATTAGAGTTGCTGATTCTGAACGTAAAATTCACAATTTATCAAGATGCTTCATTAGAATATCCGAGAGGTAAGCAGTAGTGGCCGTTTTTCAATGTTCCCAAAAAGTGCGGTCACACCGCTCAGAAAGCTTCGCATTCTTGTACATAATTGAGTATTGCTCTCAGGGTCCACGAAAACCCTACTACACAAGTTTTCACATTTTTTTGAAAAATTTTGGAACGGCAGGTTTCTTCACATTGACACCATATACTTGAAGTTTCTACCGTAATCCTACAGTAATGAAGAGCGATCGGTGATTCGCTCTTTCACCACAAGAGAGTTATTAATAATCAAACAGTAGGCACATCCTTTGGAACACTCTGTGTAATAGTTGCTCATTACGGAATCCAGACAAATGCTGTATATGCCCAGTGATGGTGCTTTTCCAAAAATTTAGGTATTATTCAGTTCTGCTATAGAATAAGATCTTCAGGAACAGTACAAAGACGACAGTTTTTTTAGCACCATATGACACAGCAAATATTATTGGCCTATAGGCAATTGCTCTTTGTGGTGTGCACTCAACTGCATAATCAATCCAGTTCATTGCACTTGTAGGTTTTTATTTGATTAGAGACATGACTATCCACGATGAAACTCGATGTTGCTCAAATAAAACGGGCTATTCCAAAAGTTCAAACGTTAGAAGCAATAGTGGGTACATTTATGTTCTACATATTTTCTAATCTATGAAATTCTCAACTCACATTGATATAAAATGATGATAATTTCAACGGTCTACAAAGTGTCAATAAATAAATAACTCATATGATTGGTTACCAAAAAATTCTCTTGTTTCAACAAACTTTCAGCTCTTTAGTTGGGGGATTGTCTTCAAATTGAATTTACAGCGTGGAACAAACTATAAGCTTACTTATGATTCCCTACCCTGATCCTATAGTAATCAAAAGCGATCGATCGTTTGATTACAGTAGGATTACGGTAGGGACCTATAAGTAAGCTTCGCCACAAGATGGATGTTGCTGCAAGAAGTCCGCAAATCTGCTGAAAATTTTTTATTGTGTCAAGTGGAGTCATCATTTCAGTTAATAAGAGCTGAGTCTCTCAAAAAATGTTTGTACACTCAAATATTTTAATAAGAGAGGATCAAGGAATTGTTTCAGAATAGACGGACCTGAAAAACTGTCAAATCCGTCACAAAAGTTCTAAATCCATTAAAAAGTTGATTTCTACCGTAACCCCAGTAAAGGCGACCAATAATTTTTAGTTATAGTAATGGCCAATGTTTTATACTTTAACTGAGCGAAGGAGCAGCTGTCTTATAAGCTATTTTGAGGTTTGCGGATGTCGCTGAGACGAGGATAAATTTTGATTTTCCTGGGAGCTCAGTATTTTCTAATCTTTCTATGACTAACAGGACGTAGGATCTTACACATTGCCTACATTGATAGTTTTTGGGCTTTTCTTTTCTAATTTTTAATACAGCACATCGGCAATGTTACTGAAAGAAAAATGGAAAATGAAGAGGTTGAGGATTACGAGAGATAAAAAGAAGGAGGTCAGGATAAAGAACGAGCTTAAATATGTTGGTTCCATAAATCGTAGAAACTGACTTGGTGAGATTCACAGTAGGAGACCAAAGATGGCTTCTAAATTCGGATTGGTACGAATCATGCATGTAGGCGTTATCATACTTTCCGAAACTTTTTGAAATTCTCACTTTGTTGAATTGGTTCAGTTAACTAGCAATGCATCAACAAAATGCTTTTAACAATAAATTCAATCAAGTTTTTGGTCTGCTCTGGGGAACACTCACGTCATTATGCTGAGAGCCTAGTGTGAATGTGCTTGGGGGAGGCAAACATGCAAAAAACTGTACTTTTAGTAGCTGGAGCCGTGAAGGCGGATGTATTGCGTGATTCAAAAAGGATACCAAACAAGGGCAACCCAGCTCACATGACATTTAGAGCGTGATTACTTAATTGTAAAATGCAAATTTTTTGCGAAACAAGAGAAAGAATTTATTGAATAGGAGCTGATTGCTTTGATTATTTAATTTTTCGTGAGGGTAAATTATAATAAAACAAAAGTATCCGTAACTGAGCGCAAGCAATGTACAAACTGCGGACACGGCGGCGACGCGGATTCGACTGGTCGAGTTGCAGGGGCGAGACATATATGCTGAATATGTTCAACTCCTGCTACAGCTTTGCTCATACGAAAGAGTAATTTTATAATCTTTCGGATTTCGCATAACGTGCATTTATTTAGTGAATAGACGATCACTACAGCCATTGCGGATGCCGATAACATTTGCGCGTTTTCTCTACACTTGAACAGGGCGTCAAAAATGATCAAAGAGCGCACATTTCAAATTCGGCAGCTCATGGGCAATTTTTGCATGCAAGTATTTTCAACAACATAGAATAACTAGCTGTCAAATGCAGGTCTATGCATATATTTCCGAGCGGTGAGGTTTTTTCCCTATGTTGGTTTTGTTTGTAGAAAGAAAACTGTCCTATGAAGAAATTTGTAAATCTAGATAAGCGTAGTGCCCAAATT